TGAACTTAGTTACATTGCAACTTAAATGGCTGATTTGCAGAGGCCTAGTCTTGTGGAAAGGGACATTGACCAGGTACACTGTATATAAAACATGTTTTTTTATTATTTTGTTGGTAATAATCTTATATTACTTATTACTAGTAGAACTCTTTTCAGGACAGTGTTGTGGTGTTTAAGGAAACTTACATATTTTGACATTCTGAGTGAAAAATTGTGTTCTAATGAAATTCCCTTTTTCAGGCCATCACAGCCCTTAAGAAAGGAGCACACTTGCTGAAGTATGGTAGGAGAGGGAAGCCCAAGTTTTGCCCATTTAGACTTTCCACAGTAAGCTCTCACTTTTTTTTTTTTTTTTTTTCAAAGAGTTTCAGTTATACTATGTCAGTTATAATGATTTATTGCTGATATTAATCTAGAATATGATTGCTAGACCTTTCAATTTATGCTCATACATGGTGTGTTTGATAATTAATTTCTTCAGCTTTTTATTGTGCCACGCAAATTTACTTTTGAATGAGCTAAGAAATATGATAATTTAACTTCTTCTAATGAAAAACATTATAGATATTAGTTTCTTGGTTTCTGAATAGTGTTTATAATAAATTTCAGGATGAGACCGCCTTGATATGGTGTTACGGGAAAGATGAGAGACAGCTTGAGCTACGTCGTGTTTCGAGGATAGTCCCTGGGCAGAGGACTGTAAGTATGGACAGTCCATATGATTTTCATCATCTCTGGAGATCCTATTGCATATTTTAAGCCTTGAATCATTCTCTTTGGTGCCAATAAAAGTAAAAATAAAAATAGTACTATGTGATAGGCTGATAGTTATTTTTTTGGAGAAATCTTACTTTGTGTATATTGTTTGTTGAACAATAAGTCTCAATGAAGTGTACTATACCAGAAATGTAGTTTGTTTACCCCAGTAAAAGCCTTTAGTATTGACTTTGTTAACTGACTGTACTTTCAAAGCAACTGACACGGCCTTTTTTCTCCCGACAGTCGATATTTCAGCGGTACCCCCGTCCCGAAAAGGAATACCAATCATTTTCCCTCATATACGACGACAGGTCCTTGGATCTGGTGAGTTTCTCATTATTCTCTCGCTATTCCAACTGTACATAGATCTCGTTACTTTTATTATCTCCTTAACATGCCAATCATGCACCTCTCAATATTTTGAACATGTCAGTTCAACATTCTTAATCTAGTCTGCTGATGTGTTTTGCAGATATGCAAAGATAAAGATGAAGCCGAAGTCTGGTTTGCCGGTTTAAAAGCTCTTATTGGACGCGGCGGGTACAGAAGACGGAGAAATGATTGGAGAAGTGAAGCGCTGCCCGAAAGCCCACGTGGTCGGAGGATTACTCCATCAAATACAGCTGTGAGTAGTAGTACCTTGATCATTTTTTCACATAATCCAAGAATACATGCTCTTTTTTCCACTCCTGATATCTTCATTGATCTAATTCAGTTTACTCAGGATGAAGGATCCACCACCATGACTGCTTCCCAAAGCAGACTCGGGAAATCATTCGCTGATGTCTTGTCTTACACCGCTGCAGACAAGAACCCTCAACTAACTGAACAGTCCAATGGGCCGACCATGCGGACGTCGGGAGCCGACACGATCCGAGTCAGCCTCTCAAGCATTGTGAGCTCGTCGAGCCAGGGCT